GTCTGTCCCAGTTTATTTATTTAATCGCGGCGACAACGATGCTGAATAATGCCATTGCGCTAAGTAACTGTACTGAACTCTGGAGGATCCTAATTGGGGGAGACAGACCTGCTCTTTAGAGACGAGGCAGCTACTCACAGTGATGATGGGACCTAAGAGCATCTCACTGACACTCTGCACAAAGCACTGAAATATGTGTAAAGGTAAGAAGCAAAAGGCAGACAGCATTGGCACCAACAGTAGTTGCTAAGTGCATTTCTTTTTTTTTTTTTACAATCTTCTCACTAGATAGTCTTTTATTGGACTGTTTTTTTTTTACTGATTGAATACTGGAAATACAAAGCACAAACCATTGTGCCATGTGAAATAAAAATGAATCCACATTAAAAACAAGGGAAGATGGATACACTGATGTGTGAAAGATATCTACAAGCTCTCACGGCGGTTATCAACATTACTTGCCTGAAAGCACATTCCCACATATTCCCCTAATACTCCAAAGTAATTTGTTTCACACGCACGTCCTCAATTTGTGCAATAGTTGTATTGTTAGAAACTCAAATATATTGTATGCATGTTTATCAATCGCACTATAACGACTTTACAGGACATGCTAGTCTGTTTTGTACTTTTGATCTTAGCTTGCATATTAATTTGCAGAGTTAATTCGCATTAGCTCATACGGTTCACAGATTCACTGTGTCTCTGTCAGCTCACTGAAACAACCAGTCTCGGTCTGGCATCTATAATCCGTAACTCTGGCTGTGGTCCATCATAACTAATATCATCAATAAGATATTGTAACATGACACAGTCTTTTATCCCTGTGTCCATAACACCCTCTCATTAACTCTCACGCTCTATCAAAACAAGAAACTGAATGAATTAGCCAAGATTTCGAAAAACAGCAGAAAATAAAGCTATCTATCTCATGAGATGTTTCGACTCTGCCAACACAATACCTGATTTTTGTTACAGACATTGACGTTCTTATCGTTACAAAATATCTCAAATGATCCTTCCCCTCTACCCTTCCCACCTGGACAGGATTGTGTGCACTGCTTAGTTTGCAGTGGTTATGGGAACTCAATGGGATCACACACTCAAAGCATTTTTTAGTAATCCTGCACACTCTTTTAGTATGCAGGAATGTATTTGGGTGCATTGTTCATGTTCATGTCAACATTGCGAAAGTTAAGCTTTGGGGTACTGACTCCTGTAGGTTTTTAGCAGTCGCCTCAGGTTCTTTGAGTTTTAGACTGGAATACATATCTGAGCTGCAAGAGAGTGGAACAAATACAGAGCGATGTGAGGAAAGAACAGCAAAAACATGTAATACTACTGACACTCGAGGGGGATTTGTGTTTGAACTGCAGCAAATTAACATCCTCAGTGTATTATGTTATTGCTCAACAACCTGTGAATTTAATTTAAGTGCCAGACCAGCAAAAGAAGGCCAGACTATCTTGTTTAAAGACAGCTATGCCTTTCATTCATGTGAAAACCTGCCTATTAGCTCCTCCACATCTGACTGGGAGACCGGTCTACAGGGGCTGCAGGGCAAGACAGAACCAGGCGGGAGAAACAAGGCCAGCAATTAATTCATGGAGTAAAACATCGATTTAGATGTAGCTCACAAACAACCAAAATAGACCAAGAAAAAGAAAAACAAGAACAACAGAGAGAGGGTTTTGAATTTTAGTACTATCTGAGGGTGCATCTATTCCACGAGTTATTCAGCACTTAATCTGATGAGGATTGCTCCTGGTGGTGCCAGAGCAGTATAAGTCAAAGGAAGTGTTCATGGGAGATTCACAAGCACTCCTCTGAGATCTGCATTTAAAATTACCTGCTGTGTGTGTCAACAATAACAGACAGCTCAAGAGATCTGTGTAGCTTATACTGTAAATGTGTTCAAATTACCAAAGCTTTATATCTCTTTTGAACAGCCTGGCTGTAGAAAAGGCAACAGAAAACAAAATAAGAGTATAAGGAGCTCTATCTGACTGAATCCTTACAACTTTGCTTGCAATAGTGATAACAGATATACAGATGGTTGATTTGATTGGTTTACAAATTCATTACTTTTGCATAGTCATTAGTCTTGCACATGCAGTCAGTGACTCCTCCAGCTAAGTGCTTGAGCTCGAGGACTTCACCCAGCAGAGGGTTAGTATCTCTACTGTTCCATTAATAATGGAGCAGGAGTCCAGCTGACTACCGACACAGCATATAACGCTATCTCCAGGCCAACCCACACATGTCAACACAAGCGCTCGAGTGTTGGACACGGGTCGCTGTTGCATGGCATGCTGAAAAACAGCTGGAAAAGCAGGATCCTGACATGCATAATGTAACACTGGTTATTCTGCTGTGTTTTATCAAAAAGAAGGTGATTCAAGGTTTGTTTGAGTTACTACAACCCACAGAAAGCAGTCCAATCCAAGCATCCTTTCAAGGACAGCTGTGTTCAAGTGCATTTTCAGAATTGCACATTAGTATTATTGCCCCCCATGTGCTGGAAAGACAAGACATGTAGGCTGCTGTTTTGGAAAAGCTTTTACTATATGTTGAAACGTGTCTGCTTCCGGTGCCAGCAATGTAAATCTCCACCAAAGAAAAACATGTCGATTCATTGTTTAGACAATAAATTTAAAAAAATAAATTCTAAATATGTTCTGTAAACCCATTCTCTGGTGAGTGAATTTGCTGCTTTTATCAGTGTAATATGTCTATAAATGAAATACCTTTGAGTTTTTGGACTGTTGGTTAAACAAAACAACATTTTGAAAGAATCACCTTGCGCTCATGAAAACATTGCAAGCGACATTTCCTTCTATTTTAAAGATTAAGTTATTAAATAAGGTTTGATAAATAAATCCGTTGAAATAATGTAGCAGCCCCTGCAACTGCAAGAGGTGTGGCAGCAGTGTGATCTCTCATAGGGAGAGAGAGAACTCACCCCTGGTGAAAAGTATCTGCCTTGCTGAATTGACACTGAAGTCCCTCACAAACTAAGGGGATGCTGCTGTGTGTGCGTGCATA